CTTAGGAGTAAAAGATCTGGGATCTGGGGGTGGCCTCCAGATGACCCTGGAAGAGTCATTTAAACAGCTAATGCTCAGGATTCTCAACTGTCAGACTATCAGTCTTGCCTTTCCCACAAAGAACAATGTGAGGATCAAATAAGAAAACCATAACACTGCGCAGTTTTGTGATTTCCTCAGCATGTGCAAAACTCAGCATGGCAGCTTCCTCCACCAACAGACAACCTATCCACAGCTTAACAAGAAATGCTTCAGATTACGTGACTTGCCTAGGGAAAACAGTTACTAAATTTCAGAGTTAGGATTTGAACCCTGGTTTTCCTAATTCTAAATCTACCATTCTATCCACTACATGTCAGGCTGTGTCTATCAGAAGAGATAATGTGTACCACTTCTGGATGTGTATCCCAAAGAGATCATACAAATGGGAAAAGGACCCACACGTACAAAAATATTTATAGCAGCTCTTTTTGTGGCGGCGAAGAACTGGAAATTGAGTGGACGCCCATCAACTCGGGAATGGTTGAACAAGTTGTGGTATATAAATGCAATGGAATACTACTGTACTATAAGAAATGATGAGCAGGCAGATTTCAGAAAAACCTGGACTTACACGTACCGATGCTGAGTGAAGTAATCAGAACCAGGAGAACATTGTACACAGTAACAGCAACACTGTGTGATAACTAACTTTGGTAGACTTAGCTCTTCCCAGCAATGCAAAGATCTAAGACAACTCCAAAAGACTCATGACGGAAAATATTATCCACATCCAGAAAAAGAACTATGGAGTCTGAATGCAGATACAAGCATACTGTTTGCTCTCTCTTTTTTCTTTTATTTTGTTTCTTCTTTCTTGTGGTTCCTTCCATTGGTTCTAATTCTTCTTTACAACATGATCAATGTGGGGGCAGCTAGGTGGAACAGTAGATAAAGCACCGACTCTGAAGTCAGGAAGACCTGAGTTCAAATCCCACCTCAGACACTTAACACTCACTAGCTGTATGACCCTGGGCAAGTCACTTAACCCCCCTTCCTCACCAAAAAAAAAAAAAACCCATGTTCAATGTGAAAACATGCTTAATAGAATGTATATGTAGGGCCTATATTAGAATGCACGCCATCTTGGGGAGGGGGAAGGGAGAGAAGAAAATTTAGAACTCAAAATCTTACAGAAATGAATATTGAAAACTAAAAATAAGTAATTAAAAAATAAAAATAAAAAAGAGATAATGGAAATGAAAATACTTTGAAAAATACAAAACTGAACATGTAAAGCATTATAAAATGTTAATCTACTACATTGTTTATAAATGATTTTGCAACTATATTTTACATGTATTTTAATTCTGTTACGTTTTTTCATGTTGTAACTGACAATTTAGCATTTAACATGGCCTGCTAAACTAAAGGACTGTCCAACACAATAATCTTCCTTTTTCTGTAAAATTTATTGTAAATAGCTAGCATTTATACCATGTTTTAAGATTTGGAAAGCACTTTACAAATGTTATCTCATTTTACCCTCACAACCACTCTGGGAGGTAGATATTATTTATCCCTATTTTACAGATGAGGAAACTGAGGCAGACAGGAGTTAAATGGCTTGCCTAGGGTCACACAGCTAATGTCTGAAGCAGGATCTGAACTGGAGTCTTCCTGACTAAGTGTCTACCTCCCTGCACCACATAGCAGCTCTCAAAGACAGATTAAAAATAGCACGATGAGGGGCAGCTAGGCAGCGAAGTGGATAGAGCACTGGCCCTGAATTCAGGAGGACCTGAGTTCAAATCCAGCCTCAGACACATAACACTTACTAGCTGTGTGACCCTGGGCAAGTCACTTAACCCCACTGCCTAGCAAAAACAAACAAACAAAAAATAGAATGATGAAAACTGTTGAGAACATAAATTAAACTATTTGTGGTATAGCAGATAAAATAAATTCATGAATTATTAAACTGAAGTTAAAAGTAAAGGCAACTCAAAGGTTATATCAAGAAAACACAAAAGTTCTTAGTGAAAATCAGGAAAGCAAAAAACAAATCAGAAAGTGGTATTGTTTTGTTATTTCTCTGTGTGCCCACTTTCAAAAGAAAAGGGGTAAATGGGGATTAGGTCTTGAAATGACCCAGAACATTACTGCCAAAGTTTACTGTTTTAAAAAAGAAATTCATGACCTGAAACCAGCCACTCCACCTCACAAATGTGGCACCTACTTGCTACTCCTTTTTATGTATGCAAAAGCCCTACATGTTCCTGACAGTGGCCACATTCGTAAGTACAGCAGCTGACTTTAGAACATGCTGACCTTGAGCAATCAGCGCCTTTAGCAGCACGCACTTCTGGCTTCTTTCACTGTTAACAGTGAGACAGCCTCGCCATCTATAGTAGTCAACAGTCTCTGGCCTCCAGCCCCAGCCTATTTTAAGATATTCCCCCACTACATTTCTGTGATGCACAGTTCAAAGTGATAGAATAACATCTGTGGCTATTCCTAAGTGCAAGTTGTTTACAGGGGGATTGTGAGCATTTGTGCTCATGCTGCTTCTCTTCACTCAAGGTTTACTTGTGCAGGTTAGTCTCTGAAGCTCAACTGCCATTTCCTGTTTACACTATTTTTTAAAGATCAAGGTGTTAACACACAACAAGGGGGTTAAATTTTCATTTGGGTCCCATGTGAACTAATGTAACACACAGGCAGAAGAGCTAGCAGGGGCTAACTAACTCCTGGTGTTCTAGTTCTAAACATCATCATTACATTTTTGTAAACTACTAGTAAAATATATCCCTGGCCAAATGATGTTTTTCATGTAATATATAATCACAAGTTGAGGGATAAAATATAACCTATTTTCCCCTCATAACTCTCTTTAACAACTGCAAATGATGCCTTGAAAGTTTAGGTCTAATTGTACTGGGACAAAGACAAATTTCCAATCTTTTTCCTTGACTATTTATATAACAATTACACCTTTTTACTCAGAAAAGATTTTGTTCTTTAAAAAGATCATACAATTATCAAGATCCTAAAGATCAAGAAAATTATGATCAATTCCCTATATGTATATAAATACACAGTTTTACAGCAAAAGTATTTAAGTTGTATTGTGTACAATTTAGTTTAACAATTACTCCATGGATAAAACATAAACTCTAGATAAGATTACCTTAGTAAACTTTGTTAGTTTACTAAGGGTAAAGACTACCAGTACTATGCTAATAGGATACTATGGAAAAATATTTTAATTTAGACCTTTCTAAAATATTTCATACTTTGTTCACTCAATAAATATTAGATGGCAAAATTTATTTAAAGCCCATTTCTTCTTAAAGCCAGGTAATACAACATTTCCAAGTTTGTTTTTTTTTGTTTGGTTGGTTTTTTTGCTTTTAGGCAATTGGGGTTAAGTGACTTGCCCAGGGTCACACAGCTAGTAAGTGTCAAGTGTTTGGTCTGAGGCCGGATCTGAACTCAGGTCCTCCTGACTTCAGGGCCGGTGCTCTATCCCCTGCGCCACCTACCTGCCCCAACATTTCCACGTTTAAAAAAAAAATCCAGATACTAAAAGGTCCTTAAATTTAAGCTACTAAAGAATTCAAGACCCAAATACAGTATTGTCACGTAAATAACAGGTGAACTAAATATTGGGACAAGGCAACTGGAAACTGAGTTACATGAAGGTAAAAGAATCTAGTAAAATCTCAAGGTAGAAGCTACGTAGAAAAAAATTATTATTCTGACATATGCTGAGACATGGTAGGTATACTTATCTACATCATGCCCCCCCACCCCAAAAAATTCTCAAAGTTTGAGTCTCAAGGTTAATATTGATTAAACTGAAAGAGAGCATAAATATTTAGAAGACTATTTTTACGATCCTTTCAATTAATTTAATCAACTTGAAAACCACTACTCCAGAGCAAAACAAAATGTATTTTCCTTTAGATAGATGATCTTACTTATATATGCTCAAAGCATGTATCATGAACTGATTTTTCAATAATAGTTATTAACTTCTGCTAAATTATTCCCAGCCTTGGTCCTTTCTAATCCACCAGGACACCACCTGCACAAGATTGTTGACTTGTTCTTGTGGAGATCAAACCAAGAACTTCAACTTCACATTCTAGTCACTACTTGAAATCATTTATACATTTCTATACACATGAAAAAATCATATTTAATGTTAGTCATAAACTATGTATCATGAGGATACTCTAAGAGAAAAACACCTTTGTTAAGGAGTTATCAGTTTAAACTGAGAAATCATTAAGGAAAGAACATGTCCATCCATGTTTTAGTAGATTTTTTTGGTGATTTATTATTAATTCTTCAGAAAAATGGCAAATAACCATTTGTTGTTAGACATTAACCAATCAACAAGTATTTAAGAGCCATCCTAAGTACTGAGGAATTAAAAAAAGATGCACATGAAAACAGTCCCTGCACTCTCCCACAAAAAGAAGTGGTAAGTGATGGTTGAAGGATAAGGAAAGGTTCCCTAAAGAAATCTGTGCCTCAGGGGAGAATTTTGAAGAGGAACGGGCACAGAGTGCCAGAGCACTTTCAGTATAGAGCCCAGCAGCTTTCTAGCTCAAGTAAAGCAATTAACCTGCCTGCACCTCAGCTCTGAAATAAAAATGAGTATCCTTGCACTGCCTATTTCACAGATGTTGTGAAGAAATAGTAGTTTGTTCCCACTAAAGCACTATTGTCTAATGTGACCTAATATTATTATAAACCTTGACACCATTAACCAGAAGCTTAAATCCCAACTACCTATTTTTTAATAGCAGTCTTTCTGCAAGGAGGACCCTGGAGGGTAGAGGGTGTGTGCTGTGCTGTAAGGGTATTAAGAAATCATCAGACCTTTCTGTATATACATATCTTGATTTCTATACACATCTTAGAGACACTTTTCCAACCCTGGAAACATGACCACTTCTGAAAACACAGACAGAGCATTCCTTTGGTAACCAAAAATAGTTCCCACCTACCTGTAGTACCGAGACTGTAAATATGTAGAACAAACAGTCTTTGATACATGGCTAGCAGATCCAAAGTCTATTACTTTAACCCTGTATGGCTGTCGGACAGGATCTACCAACATAATATTCTCTGGTTTGAGGTCAGCATGAATTAAACCAAGACTTTTCAGTTTTTTCAGTGCAGTGGCTACTTGTTGAAGAATAGGTCGTATTACTTTAAGTGGCAGAGGACTGAATTTATTTTGCTTCAGAAAATCATATAAGTTCTGTTCCAACATCTCAAAGACCAAGCAAGTGTGGTTACGGTGTTGAAAGCATTCATAAGCTCGTACAAAGTTAAATTCATCAGCATTTTCAGTACTGAGTCTTGATAATATGCTCACTTCTATCTGTCCTTGGCGTGCATAAGAAGGGTGATTCTTCAGAATTTTGACTGCCACAATCTCACTTGTCCCTCTTTTCCAACATTTGACTACCTGGCCAAAAGTCCCTCTCCCAAGAAAATCAAGGACTTCATATGTATTTTTCAGTGAACACAAAACTTCATGCTGTACTAACTGATAATCTCCCTCTCCACTGGTACAATTCTGCTTTGATGCTGCCGTAGTTGTAACAACTGTCACTGGATTTCCCATGTTGGTTTGCAACATTGCAGGTAGTATAGACAGTTCATCGACAATCTGCATTGCGCTGTTTTGATTCTCCAGCTCTTTACTCTTACGCTTCAATCCCCATCGCTGGGCACTTTCCCGGGCCCCAGATGGAAGTGCCTCCACGTGAGAAGGCTGTGCCCGCACAGCTAGGATCTTGGTAGCACCTGCAGTGTTTTTAAAAGCAGCAGTATTTGTTTGCAACAAAAAGTTATGTCCTCGTGATCTGTTCAATGGTATCTTTGTCTGAAAAGTACTCTCCTTAATAGAAGGATGAGAAATTCCAAAGTTTCTACCATTCACATAGGTCTGGGGATAAGTTTTCTCATGGTATACACAACTGCTTGGCTCTACTTTGAGTTTTTTCACACTACAAAAGGCACTTGACTGAGTTTGATAAACATATGGTGGGTAGACCAAGACTTGTGAGGCCATACCTACAAAGGAAAATGAGAAAAATAAGAAATAATTAACTTACAATTCATTGATGTGAAAAATTACTATTAAAGTTCCTTTTAAAATGCACAAAAGTAAATATACTTCTGATATATATAAAAATTTCAGGAGCATAAAGTTTCATCGGCATTCATTGTACTGTGCAAAGTGTCTCCAAAGGAGACAGCACAGATATCTTAAACATTCTTCAAATGGTTCTGTATGTTTTCAAACTACTTAAAAAGCCCACCAAAGTGAAGCTTCACTTTTTACACAACAAGATCAGAGAGGAAGGGGAGTGTAACCAGATCTATAACTTCATCAGTGCAAGGCGCTCCTAATATTCTACCAATGTAGACCTTACTACCAAATAACTTTTCCTTCTCACCTCTGATTTATTTCCTTTGAGTCCTCCCATAGTTATTTTATTTCCTGTAAAATTCTAAAAATTCTTTAAATATTTATCAAATATCCACAGGAAATGCATATATGTGCAGATAATTAGAGATTCTAGGCACAAAGTCTGCTAATTGGAAGATGATTTTACAAAGTATTTAACTGTAACTTATCATTTGAACATAAGTATAACGACTGGACCTAACATTCTTTACTGGCATTGATATCCTACTACTCACCTATCTAGAATTTACATATAATGCAATCAGTATAATATCCAGCCCACCCAAATACTCAATATAGGAATAATATAAAACAGCAAGTTTACAAGAGCTCTTAGACTATTCAGTTATACAGTTCAGTTACACCTGGAACACAGGTATTTAGAATATCAGAAGAAAAAGAATAAAGCCAAGTTTAAACAGTCAAGAGAATCCTGCTTTGGTCATTGTTTCATTTTGACTACTCCAAAAAAGAAAAAAAAAAGCCATATTATTTCTAACAGAGAAATTCTTTATCTCAAATAGTCAAGTATGAGAAAAATAGGTACATAAAACAGATATACTCTTATAACTCAAAACAATATGCCAACAAAACAGGAGAATATATACACATACACAAAATACATATATATTAATACAAAAACACACATGTAAGTAATAGATGTACACACACACACACACACACACACACACACAACTGGTAGAGTCCTCATGTAAGACTAACTTTGTACCAATGCTAAGCAGTAGTTCTAACACAGAAACAGCAAGATGCCCCCTTATACCCCATTCCACTATCATTTATGAATCTTCTGTCCATCTGTACAACTTGAATACAATCAGTGAACAGACAGCTTCCATTAAGTTATATCAATTGATACCAAAGACACTGATATGAAACAATAGTCAAAATGATCTGATTCTACTAGATGCCTTGAAAAGAGCTCTATCTTATTTCTTATACTTCCACTGCATCTCTTTCTATAATTCCCACCAGCTCGAGGAGTAGAGTTCATCTTATTTGACACCTTAACACTGATAAGAAGCTGAAAGAGGGATGTTTTAGGTTCTCCTGGGCTTTGGAATATCAAAAACACACGCAAGCCATTTCAAAAAGTTTTAAAATGCCAATTATGTGCAAGTTCCACCTGTACCATGGTAAGTGCTAAGACAGAAAGATGAAAACCAACAGTACAGTTGCTGTTCTCAACTAAATTATAATCTAACAAAGGGGTGCTACTTATGCACAAGTAAGTACAATATTAGGTAGGATATGAGAATGATAAATGAAAAGTCAAGTCAAATGGCTCTAAGAAATACTTAGACCAAAAAACACTTTTAGCCCAGGAAGAGCTGGCACCTAAGATGTAACCTAAAAAGGAACTCGGGCAGGAATATGGTCACAGTCCATCAGCAGCAAGGGGATCATCTAAACCAGTGCACAGAAGCAAGAAATAGCAGGACCTGAAACAACCTTTACAAGTCCAGTTCTGGAGCACAACAGTACACAATGACAGAGTGAAAGAAGGATGAAGAACATTTTAGAGTCAGATTATAGAGGGTCTTATATTCTGGGTTAAAGATAATCTTATCCCACAGACAACAAAACACCTAAACATTTTTAATTAGAAGAACATTCAAGCCCCCACATTATGGAGATTACTATGGTTATATGAAGGATGGATTGACAAGGGGAGAGGCTAAGGACAAGAAGACTTGTAAGAAGACATTTACAATAGTCTAGGCTAACTTTTCTACCTTTTTTGATCATATACCCCAAATGTAAAAAATTCTGAACATATATCCCTCACAGTGTACATTTATTTATTTAGGTATTATGTTTGTGTGCTGTTATACTTGTAATTAAGTACATTTCTAAAATTTAAGCAAAAAAAAAATTTTAAGGATGAAATAAAGACAAAATACTTGATTCCAGAGTCAATAAGGAGCCAATGGATTTTAAAAAGTAGTAAGATGACACGGTCAGATCTTCACTTTAGGAAATTGGTTTGGCAGCTGTGTGAAGAATGAATGAGAGAAGGGAAAGACTTGAAACAGAGAGCTCAATTAATTAGGAGACTATTAGAACAGTCGAAGCAAGATGATGAGAACCTGAGCTAGAGTGATTGCTATGTGAAGAGCAGAAGTTGGATTCAAGAGACACCATGAAGACAGAAATTACAAGTATGGCAACTATGTAGGAGGAAAGTATCACACTGAAATTGTGAACCTGGGTGACTGGAAGGACTGACAGGACCAGGAGTGTCTGGAAGACGGATGAGTTTGGGGGAAAATATTATGACATCTGTGATCCAAATCCCAATCCATTCATGCCTGGCTCATCCTGTGTGACTCACTAAGTCCCACCCAAAATGAAAAGAGAGACGGTAGAGCTCTTATTCACTGGCCCCTACTTCCAGATCCAGAGCCACCCTAGAAAATGATCTGGGAGGCAGAAGATGAGGGCAGAACTTTTATCAAGACCATCCCCTATTGATTAAAACAACAGCAACCACCACCAGATGCCATGGGGGAAAGGAATAAGAATTTATTAAGTGCCTACTATGTACCACTGTGCTAACTGCTTTACAAATACCTCATATGATCATCACAATAACCCTATTAGGTGCATGCTATAGCTGAGGAAACTGAGGAAGACAGCAGTTAAGTGACTGACTCAGGGTCACACTCTAAAAAGCGTCTGAGGCCAAATTTGAACTCAAGTCTTCCTGACTTCAGGCTGAACTCAATCTGCTGTGCCACCTAACTGCAAAAAGGCAACCACAGAGTTTACACAGAAGAAGGAAGAGAAGGTAAGAAGTATTGGGAAGAGATAAGTGTAGATGTGTTTATGTTGGGAGACAAATCCCATTACTGGCTACCTGTTGAGGGAGAGAAGTAGCCTGTCCTCCCATTTTGCAATTGGTTAATCACACACACCCCTGAATCAAGTCTCACATACCCTCAAGTGATGCCTCTGACTTCCCAGGGAGCCCCTGTCCTGCCTTTAGAGACCACTAGCCTATAATATAGTTTCCTATAACTCAATATTAAGTTTTCTTGCTTGGTTTTACAGTGGAGCTAAATAAAATGTTTTTATGAACGCTGTTATTTGTAAAAATAAGAAAGGCTTTTTCCCCCCATAGTTCTGTAGTACCTACACAAGAATCTTACTGACACCTCAATATAAAACAAAAGCAATCCTGGGACTTTGAAGATGACAAAGAGTACAGATTCTGGCAAGCTTTGAAAAGCTTCCAAATACTGTGTTGTCAATAGCCTATGCCAGCTTTCTAAAGGAAAGCGTAGCTAAGTATTAAGGAGGTTCATCACTACTAGACTGGCCACTCACTAATGATGAATTCTGAAACATGAAACAAAAAGCAATTATAAAATAGCTCCATTCTACTTCTACAGTGATGGACGAGGACAAACATAAAAAGAGGCAGCAGGTGCTTTGAAACAAAATTTAGTTTTCAGAGTCAATAAAGATTTAAATGAGATGTTTCCCTAACAACAAATGGGTTAACATATTACTAGAAGAAAGAAACCAACCATATTTTATTGACATTTTTGCTATAAATGAAACCAGCAGACATTAAGTCGCAACAAAACAGGAAGGATTCTCCTTAGAGAAGCAAAAAAAGAAGTTGGCAGTTTCGTCATGCACACAAAGGCAACAAGTATCATTTCATGGAACAAATGGTCATATTTCTTTCAGAGTTCAAGATGGGCAAAGGTAAAAAGACCATTCAGCCTTGTAGATAACTGCAGCTTAAAGGGCAAAATTAGTTGTGGAGGAAAAATATTACAAAGCACTTAACAATATCCTCCAAACCAAGTTAATAAATATGTGAATATTCAGCAACTTCAATCTTAAGGTAAAGATGGAGAAAAGGATGGCAAAAAAAAAAATAGTGTTCATGATTAAAAAACAAAAGAAGCCAAAGTTTAGTTGATGGAAGTTTATACTTATATGGTAGGAATCCTTTTTCAGGATATAAGGAAGGTGTTAACATGGTGAAAAAAATGAACATAAACTGGCTCTAAGAAAACAAATTTATTTTTAAACTTTAGGTTGATTATTTAAAATATTCAACAGCAAGACATCTTATTACATGGGTTTTGGTTTTCTTGCCTTCTTAATGAGTGGGAGAAGGGAAGGAGGTGAACTCAAAACTGAAAATAAAATTGAATGGGAAAAATACATCTTATCATACTTTCTGACTAACTTTAAGCAAGTGAATTTAAATTCATGAAATCATAACTTTTCTGTCATTTTCTCCAGGTTTCTATCAAGAATTTTTTGTCCATTCACATATCCTATCCCAGTCTTGTATTCTGTACTTTTGGTTCTGCCTTTTTTCCACTTTGCCTTATTTCATAAAAGTCTTTCCATATTCCCTTACATTCTATCCTAATAAGGGTATTTAGTTACATGAAAATACCATGATTTATTTAAATACATTAAAATATTATGATTTATTTAAATTTTTCATTATTACTGGATATTTACATTGCTTCCAGCTTTTTGCATCACAGCATTGGGGAGAGAAGGCCAATCTTGACATCAGGAAGAGTTCTGTTCTAGTTTCTTTGCCTTTGGG